ATTGTTAATAGTTCCCCAGCCCAACAGCCATTCTTTGTTTCTACATTTCCCAATCATTAACTCTTGGGTCATCAATTTTCTTCAAAAGACAAGGACTCTGGGGCTTGTACACCATTTCAATCCTTATCTCTTAGGTCACTGAAAGGGCAAGGTTGACCAGACTTTGGGAGCACACACAGAACAGGACCTGGAGTATAGAAAACACAGGGTAAGAGTTGGCTATCATCACTGTATTGTTATTATTGTTGTATTAAAGTCTTCATAGAAAATACATGGCACTCTTAAAATAAGATGTNAGAACAGGGACTGGAGTATAGAAAACACAGGGTAAGAGTTGGCTATCATCACTGTATTGTTATTATTGTTGTATTAAAGTCTTCATAGAAAATACATGGCACTCTTAAAATAAGATGTACTTAGTAACTAAGTCATGTCTGACTCTTTGTGACTCAAAAAAGGACAGGACTTAATAAAAGTAGCATTTAAATGGCTTGGTCAGGGTAAGTAGGCTGAGGATGGCCCCACATCCAGGACCTAGCATCAGATGAAAGCAGTGACACCACTCCCTACCTTCCGCCCAACCAGAGGGCCAGGAGGAGGGGGCAGTTTGCAGAGTAGGGAGAGCGGTGGCAATGAGAAGTGCTTGAGAAGCGCTCATCCAGTGGGAATTGTAGTTTCTGTGAAAGCAACCCATATGATGCTAAATCATGGAAGAGTAGGGAGAGAATGTGAGCCATAAATCCCTTGACCTTTCTCATATCTTAACCCCGAAACCCCAGTGCCTCCCACTGCTGCTATTCCATCGTTAAGTTGGGTCCAACTCTTGGTGACCCTAAGGACTGTAGCCCACCTGGCTCCTCTGTCCATGAGATTTCCCAGGCAAGAATACTGGAGTGGATTGTCATTTCTTTCTCTAGTCTCCCATTCAAAAATCTAACCAAAAACCAGCAGACATGGGAGTCCAGTTAATCCATTATGAAAAGATCAGCTTCCAGCTTTCAGATTGGTACTGGGGTAAAGAGGAGATGTGGGCAGTGATTAGAAATCATCCAACTTCAAGAAAAACAGTCTCTGAACCATCTATATTATATGTGCAACTAGTAAGAACAAACTGAGCAGATATTCCCAATATAGTCACATACCCCACTGCCAAGAAATGCTAACAGGACAAATATAACTGGCATAAATATTTCTCATTTTTCCAATCCGCAAGAACTGCTTAGTGCCTTTTTGTTTTGGTTCCAGGCCAGAGTGAGGAAGAGTGATAATCCTCGTAAAAACAACCTGAGCAAAAATAGTGACAGCAACTGGCATGTCGATAACACTAAACAATTATCAAACTGTTTCCATGCATTTAATTCCATTTTAGCCCTGTATGATAAATTTGTGGTAAAGAAGATATTGATTCCTTTTTGAAAAAGAAGGAAATTGAAGATGAAGAGTTCAGTTGAGTAGGATCAAAACCCACTGTATCATCTTTGCTTAAATTTCTTAGAGAGTGCAAGGAGAAATAGTAACTTTACAGAATAGTGTTTGGACTTCCCTGGGGGTCTAGTGGTTAATCCGCAATGCAGGGGACACAGGTTCGATCCCTGGTCTGGGAAGAATCCACATACCACGGAGCAACTAAGCCTGTAGGCCCCAACTACTGAGCCTGTGCAGAACCCATGTTCTGCAACAAGAAAAGCCACAGCAATGGAAAGTCTGCACACAGCAACTAGAGAAAGGCCTTGCCCAGCATCCAAGACCCAGCGCAGCCAAATATATATATGAATAGGGCTTAAAAGTACAAGATTCAAAATTTACTTATCTGTTTTATTTAAGAAATAAGTTGAGAAGTATTGTAAGACATCAGACTTCAGACACTGGACAGCAAAGTTGTGGAGAAATTGGAGTCCTTGAACACTGTTTGTGAGAATGTAAATAAAATAGTGCAACAGCTATGCAAACAGTATGGGGATTCATCAAAAATTAAAAGTGGAACTGGCATATGAGCCAGGGATCCCACTTTGGGATATATACCCAAAAGAACAGAAAGCAGGGTTTCAAGAGATAGCTACACTCTTCAATGAGTGGGAAACACTTGAAACGCACGCAACATACTTTATTGTTGATGTTAGGACATAGACTATTCAGCCATAAAGTTTTCCTTGTGACCAGCTCTTCTAAACTATTTCTTAAACCTCCAAATTCTGTATTTCTAGTATCATATATGTTACATTTTTAAATATTCTGTTTTTATATTAATACTTTTGAAAAATGAAGTAAGAGATGAAGACTTTCGTAAACTGATAGGTTTGGTGGAAAGAGTACTCTAGGTTGGGAAGTTACTGAGAGTTCTTGCAATCGCTTATACTATCTACTGCTTCATATCCCCAGAAAGAATCACTTAAGCATGGCTTCCCTGATAGCTCAGTTGATAAAGAATCCGCCTGCAATGCAGGAGATCCCAGTTTGATTCCTGGGTTTGGAAGATGCCCTGGAGAAGGGAAAGGCTACCCACTCCAGTATTCTGGCCTGGAGAATTCCAAGGACTGTATAGTCTATGGGATCACAAAGAGTCGGACACAACTAAGTACTTTCACTTTCAAGCAGGCTTCTAGCCCTCCTTACTGATCACTCAGAAAATTATCTCCTACAAATTTATGACTGCTCTGTCACCTGAAGAGTAGAAAACAACTAATGTTTTAAATGACTCAGTTGCACTAAACAGTTAGCTCTGGGAGAAATATTTTATCTGAAAGACTCAGAAGCATAAGTCATGAAGCCTACAGGTTACAATCACAGGTTTATTTGAAAAGGGCATACTTTAGATTTAGTGGTTGGACACAGAATACAGAGCTATTACTGAGATAACAGTGCTTTTATATGCAGCATCAATGTGAATTCTGAAAAGCAATAGGAACATTATCCTGGTGGGAGGAGGGGCCTTTGAATTGACTGGAATAATTTAATTATGGAAGGACTCATTTTCCAACCAGAAATTCCAGGCAGCAGTGGCAAAATGGTGGCCTTGGTAGGACACCTAGGGGCCAGGAGGAAAGAGGTTCATTTGCTTATAAATTAAAGTTGCATAAATATTTCAGCAAAAATAAATGGAGCCAACCACAGTCTCTGTCTGAATTGTTCCTCTTTGGCAGATGTTAATAGAAGTGGCCTGTGTTATTGTGACTTGTCCAGCTGTGAACGTTGGGCTCTGGTACCCGGGAAAGGACCTAGAGTCCCAGCCCCTGAAATAACACATGCTCTCTTGAAATATACTCCAAGATAGAATGGGTTGAAGTTTTTCTTTAGTCCACTTATTCAAAATACTAGTGAAGATGGCCCCATATATTTTCTTGAAAGTTTAAAAATTTCTAGAACTATCCCCCCATTAGAACAGAGTGAAACTTGGATTTAATTAAATTCAGATGGAGAGGTAGAGGCAGAGTAGGACAGAAATCAGCAACTCAATTTGCAGTTCAGGCCATTTATACAATGCCTGCTTCCTGCTCCTTGATCACTGAGGTCACTGTCCTTCCCTGCTGGCAAAACATGAGAGCATCAGGAAGGAGCAGGCAGAACTGGACTTCAGATAAGGAGGATAAACAATCATGATTTTTGGTTAAGCCCATGGGACCACACACAGCAACTGAAGGAGCCCAAGGCAAAGCTTGGTTCCTGGAGCCCAGTCTCTGGGATGGCTATAACAGGATCCGGTTAGAACCAATGTAAAATCTAATGATGTGCAGTTTCCAGGCTCCTTGTACTTCCAGCTCAGGGCTGTGAATTTGGGATCTGGTACTTCCAGCTTAGGATGTGAAGACGAAAGAGGAAAGACCTGAAGAGCGTCACTCACATCTCTGTAACTCCATTCACATGGAATTCTATATAAACAAAGCCTCCTGAAGATGTACTAGATATGGGTGTGGGGGAGGGCCCCTTGGGAAATCGGACATCTTATGTCTTATAATTTTGTCTAGAAGAACTGGTCTGAACTAAATGTATTTTTTTTCCATCTTCCTTTCAATTTAGTATAATCAATTCTTCTTAATTTCATGAACTCTGAATACTCAGCTTTCCCCCATACACCGGCTCTTCAGTAACTCAATCTTTACTTACAAAGAGTTCCTCCCTCAGAGCAAATGTATTTGAAATGTTTGTATTGGTTCATACTGAAGTGTATTTCTCTGGTTTTGTGACTGCTACTGAAATGCGGATGATAAGGCTATAGCAATTAGCTGTGGATTTGAGGAGGTGTTATTTTCAGTTGACATGAATTTTTCAACTCTTCCCATAGAGGAAATGGTTAGCAGTTAGAGTCTTTACATTTCCAATTTAAAATGAAGATATGTGCTTGGCACATAGTGAGAAATCAACAAATGCTACTGAATAAATATTACGGGCTTCCCCAGTGGTGACAGTGGTGAAGAATCCACCTGCAATGCAGGAGATGTGAGATCAATCCCTGGGTCCAGGAAGATCCCCTGGAGAGGGAAATGGCAACCTGCTCTAGTTTCCACGTCTGGGACATCCCATGGACAGAGGAGCCTGGCGGGCTACAGTCCATGGGGTCACAAAAGAGTGGGACACAACTTCGCAACTAAACAATACCAAAAGTTGTGGAGAAATGTTCATAGACTTCCAGAGGGAGCTAAATTTCCCTGAAATCATCCCTGGTTTTGTTTCAAGGGCTTTATCTGTGGAGAAATGCCAAATATCTTTCCATTTCTTCATTACATCACACATAGACACCTCTGGGATGCACCTTCAAAAACCTGAGCCTCAAGACCAAAGAAAGTGCCCAGAGACGGCAACAGAGACATCAGTGGTTTAACAGACGGAGGATCTTATGTGTCTGAAGCAGGTCCTGGGGCAACACCTCAATGTGTGGTAAATAGAAGGCAGCATAGAGCAGCAATTTTCTCTTCCAGGAGGAAGGGGAGGTTACCAGTTATAGGGACAATTGACCTCAGGGTTGGCTCATCAGTTGCCAGGGAAACCAGAACAGGAGCATGCCCCTCACAATCCCTTTGATAAGATCTCAGAGTGCAGAAGTTCTGATCCAAAGATTAGAGCAATCACTAGCTGGGACCACGGGTAAGTAAGTAGGAAGGTCAGTCTCATGAGAACGTGTAGGTGAGGTAGACAGTGGTCAAGGAGGGGATGTACAAAGAGCAAGAGAACAGCCATCTTTGGTGCCTGGTCTCACACACACACACTCTTATGAATTGAAATGTCAGTTTCGAAAGACTCTGACATACTAATCAAAGAACTGTATTTGTACTTTCTGTAATGATCCCTATGGATGTGTGCTCAAATATTCTGGAATTTTTATGAATGACATAATTTTTTACTGAATGTAGACTTCATATCTGTAGTGAAAAGTGTTGGTCACATATCCAAATTCTACTGCCTTCTGATTCCTTCCTTTATGAGATTTTCATGTCTGATCATGGCACCCAGAATTTCTGGCACCATCTTGCTTCTAGTGAAAGGAGAAAGCCAACCTGAGGATGGAAAGCAGAGAGATGAAGGGACATGTCACATGGTTGAGCTGTTGAAATTTTCCAATTCTGGACTCCCAACTTCCTACCATAGTGCTTGGGCTTTTAAGAAGATAAGAACATAAGACCCCTTATTGTAAAAGCCTGATGAGTCAGAAGTTCTGTTTCTGCAGTTGAAAGCATTCAGTAAATACAAAAACATCTTTGTAAGTGGCTGTGCACTTGTCCTCAGCAATATGTCTATTACAACAAACTTGTTTTATTAGAGAAATTCATTTTTCTTCCCAGAAATCTGTAATATTCTTGAGGGTTGTTTAATTCTTTAATTCTCAGAATCAGGTGCTGTGAATGCTTATGAATGTTTTTATAAAATTCAATTTAGGGATAACTATCAATATTCTTTTTTTTCTATGTCTGAAATTATTTATAACAAGATGTCAATATTCTTAAGCCTTTCTTTTCAGCTATACTCTAGAAACTCTTTCTCCTTTGGACTCTGAAGTATACAGAAGTAAATAAGAGTTGTGTCTGTCTCCGAGAACTTTCAATATGATAGAAAGAACAGATGTGTGCATAACAAGGTATAACCCATTGCAAAATGTGAAAACCACTGTGATATTTTCTACCAAACAAAATTGAGTTTATCCACAAGTGACAGTAAAATTGACCATAGTGGCTTACAACTTAGTGATTGGTATCTCACATAATAAAATGTCTAGAGATTGTAGGAATTAGTTGGGCAGTTAAAAGAAATAAATCCCTTCCAAGCCTTTGTTTTTTTCCACAGGGTTGCATGATGACTGCTGCATCTCCAGCCATCACATCCTAATCAAAGCAAAAAGAGCTAGAAGAGATGATGCCAATCATGTATCTCCTTTCATTCAAAAACAAAAGCTTGCCAATAAATGCCCCACAGAGACTCATACTTGTGTTTTATTGACCTGAATTGAGTTATGTAACCCTTCCCATCGTCAAAGGAGGCCAAGTAAAAAGGGAATAGAACTGTCTGTCCTGTTGAAATGCAGCAGGGGGCATCTGAATGCTGTGTGTACATATTTCCATGTCCCCACAGTATTTTAGCTGTATGAGATCTTAGGTCCTCCTGCTAGCAACCCTATGAGCTAAGTAGCCTTACTGTTCTATTTTACAGATGAAGGAAATGAGACTCAGAAGGGTCCTGAAACTTGCAGTTAGAAAGTGAAAAGTGAAAGTGTTACTCACTCAGTCGCATCTGACTCTTTGCAACCATGAATTGGAGCCCTCCAGGCTCCTTTGTCCATGGAATTCTCCAGACAAGAATACTGAAGCGGGTTGCCATTTCCTTCTCTAGGTGATCTTCCTGACCCAGGGATCAACACTGGGTCTCCTGCATTGCAGGCAAATTCTTTATCACTGAGCCACCAAGGAAGCCCCAAAATGGCAGAGTAGAAGGATGTGCACCCATCTTCTCCTGTGAAAAAAACCAAAATCTCAACTAGCTGCTGAACAACCATTGACAGGAAAATGTTGGATCCCACCAAAAAAAGGGAAGCCCCAGAAATTAGAAATCATCTAATTGAATAAATGTAATGTCAGCGGCCAGTAAGATCGATCAACTCTGACCAAGATAATCTTAATATTTCCCTCTGATTGACCATGACATAGGCTCTTCCTACATCATGGCCCTGGATATCTCTCTTTTTGTTGCATTTGCTCTAGAAAATTTGTAATTGGAAATTCTTTCTCTACTACTTTGAGATGTAAATCTTTTTAAAAGCCTCTTTTCATTTTTTTTCATCCTTGGAATGTATTTTTCCTGGACCTAGGAGTCAGTTCTTTGAAAACTAATCAAAGAAGACAGAGCTCAGTCTCCATGGGAGGGAAGAAGCCCAACTTTAGTTGGAGCCTTGCTCCAAGCTGTGAGACTCCCTCCTATCATGAAGATATTTTAAAAGTCCACATTTCCCTGTGTAAAACCAATTAACACACCCAGGTGACCTAAGAGCCCCTTTCCTCTGCTCTTAAAAACTCTCCCACCCTTTGTTTTGATGAAGTTGAGCTCTGAATGAGTTCTGGTATCTTTTCTCTGTTACAGTAGCTTTGTATAAAGTCTCCTTTTCCTTTTAAGCTTTGTCTAGAACATTTTTAAAATTTTGACAGTCCAGAACCATGCACTCTGAGATGCTTTGGAATCAGGTCTTGAAAACTCAGATGTATGCATAGAGCAGGTAGGCAAGGTAAATGTGGTCAGATGTAAGACAGAAAAGGATGCTAGTGACTATGAGGTGCTGGAGACCCAAATTCTATTGCAGTAGCTTAAATAGTGACCTTCTGAAAAATAAGTCCAACTCCTAACACCTGGTCTCTGTGAAGCTTCTTTGAAAATAGGACTTTAGCAGGTAAAACTACATTAAAGCTCTCAGAATGAACTTATGGCTACCACAGGGGAAGGGTGGCAGGGAGGGATAGTTAGGGAGTTTGTGATTGACAGGCAAACATTACTATATTTAAAATGGATAAACAGCAGGGACTTACTATACAGAACATGGAAATCTGCTCAGTGTTATGAGGCAGTCTGGATGGGAGGTGAGTATGGGGAAGAATGCCTGCCTGCTAAATCGCTTCAGTCGTGTCCGACTCTTTGCAACCCCATGGACTGTAGCCCACCAGGCTCCTCTGGCCATGGGTTTCTCCAGGCAAGAATACTGGAGGATTGCCATTTCCTCCTCCAGGGGGTCTTCCCGATCCAGGGATCAGATCCTCATCTCCTGTTTCTCCTGCATTGGCAGGTGGATTCTTTACTACTAGCACCACTTGGGAAGTCCTTGGGGGAGAATATATACATGTATTTGAGTGGCTGTATTCCTTCCCTAGTCACCTGAAACTATCACAACATTGTTAATCAGCTATACCCCAATACAAAATAAAAAGTGTTAAAAATTAAAAAAATAAAAAATATGGATAACCAACAAGGACCTGCTGCATAGCACAGGGAACTCTGCTGATATTATGTACCAACCTAGTTGGGAAAAGAATTTGAGGAAGAATAGATACATATATAGGTATAACTGAATCCCTTTGTTGTACAACCAGAACTAATGCTACATTGTTCATCAGCTATATTCTAATATAAATTTAAAAGTTTTCAGAAAGGCTCTCAATATTTAGAGTGGACCCTAAATCCAACAAGTGGTCTCCTTACAACTGGAGGAGATCTGAGAGGTGGAGACACGGGAAAGAAGACTATGTGAAAACAGAGAAAGAGATCCGAGTGATGCAGACAGTCCGGGAAAGCCTTCCTGCCACTAGGAGCTAGAAGCCGCACTGGGATTCCCTCCTGGAACCTTTGCAGGGAGCTTGATCTTACAGGCACCTTGACTTCAGAGTCTGGCCTCCAGAGCTGTGAGAGAATAAATTTCTACTGTTTTAAGCCATCAAGGTTTGGGGAATTTGTTGTGGCAGCCTCAGGAAGTGAAGACACCAGTCTAAGGTTGCTACTCTGATGAAATGGGATCCTCGATTTTGCAGATTTACCAGTGGAGTCACAGAAATCTGGAATTTGATGCCAAATAACTTTATTTTTAAATTTATATAAGTTTTATGATGTTCAGCAAAGTGATTCAGTTATATCTATATAAATACCATTTTTCTCTTTTTTTCCATTTATTTTTATTAGTTGGAGGCTAATTACTTTATAATATTGTAGTGGTTTTTGCCATACATTGACATGAATCAGCCATGGATTTACATGTGTTCCCCATCCTGAACCCCCCTCCCACCTCCCTCCCTATCCCATCCCTCTGGGTCTTTTCCATTATGGTTCATCCCAGGATATTTAATGTTGTTCCTTGTGTGTATACTAGGACCTTGCTGCTTATCCATCCTATATATATATATCAGTTTGCATCTGCTAACCCTAAACTCCCACTTCATCCCTGCCTCACCCACTTCCCTTGGCAACAATTCTCTTCTCTATGTCTGCGAGTTCATTTCTGTTTTGTAGATAAGTTCATTTTTGTCATATTTTAGATTCCACGTATCAATGATATCATATAGTATTTCTATCTGACAACTTCACTCAGTAGGATAATCTCTGGTTGCATCCATGTTGCTACAAATGACATTATTTCATTCTTTTTTATGGCTGAATAGTATTTAATTCAGAGAAGGAAATGGCAACCCACTCCAGTATTCTTGCCTGGAGAATCTCAGGGACAGAGGAGCCTGATGGGCTGCTGTCTATGGGGTCGCACAAGAGTCGGACACGACTGTAGCGACTTAGCAGAAGCAGCAGCAGTATTTAATTGCATATGCATACCATGTATTCTTTCTCCATTCATCTGTCAATGGACATTTAGGTTGCTTCCACGCCTTGGCTATTGTGAACAGCGCTGCTATGAACATAGGTGTGCTTGCATATTTTTTGCATAAATTTTTGCATAAATTCTAGGTTTGTCTGGATATATGGCCAGAAGTGGGACTGTTGAATCATACAGCAAGTCTGTTTTTAGATTTTTGAGGAAACTCTTTCCTCTTTTCCACAGTAGCTGCACCAGTTTACATTCCCACCAACAGCATAGATGGGTCCCCCTTCCTCCACACTCTCCAGCATTTGTTATCAGATATATTCATTTTTTTTCAATGTGGCAAGCAAGTCACTTTTTCTTGGCATCTTGCAGGTCAACACTGCATGAGGCCAGCAGATTAAAACAGGTCTCAGAGAGCAGATACACCCTCTGGATAGCAGATTAAAAGCTCTGTATTGGGGGATTGATTTTGGATTTGATCTACATGCAGTTGTTCCAGATGAATTCTCCTTACACTGTTGAGTTCCGCTTGATGGGGCTGGAAGTGGCTGGTTCTGAATATTTTTCACAATCCTCAGAACTCAAATCTGGAGGGGCCGTCTTTCCTACTTAAGACATTGACTCATGCCTGTTCCTGGAGGCTAAGAAGGATACACTCAGATAACTGACTATAAGGCATAGCCCACATATGATTCCCACCTATTAAAGATGGTTATCAGTCTAAAACATGAACTATTTCCACCCCCACTCATGGGGCGGCTTTGTCAAGTTTTAAACCTCAGCTTTGATTTATGAATTCAAGAAGGAAAAAATGATAGGAAAATATATTTATAACCTTTCCCCTTAACAGGAAGCCAGACTCCCTAGCTACTGTAAAGGCATGGTTCCCATTAACTTAATGAGAGTTTCGGTACAAAATTCAGTACAGCATCCATGCTAGATGCTCACAAGCCTGGCTGAATTTTAATATTTCATGGGCTTTCTCAAAACCCTAAATAGACTCTCAGAAATGTGTTTTGCAATATAACAAAATGATCATCAAGTCTGACTTAAAGATGCACCTTTTTTTTCTATAGGCAGAAATGAAGCGTTGAGAATTCCTTTTAACTCTCTGTATTACTGATTATCCTCTGCCAGCTCAATTAAATGTTGTCATTTCTAGAGAAGAGAAATAACGTGCTTTCATTATGGAAAGACTGAGTCAAATGGACAGATGTGTGTGTTGTGTGTGTGTGTGTGTGTGTGTGTGCCAGTTGTGTCTGCCTCTTTGCTACCCCATAGACTGCAGCCTGAAGATGGGCAGAAAGAGTCTTTTTAACAGAGAACTGCGAATCTCCACCCACAGGACCCATTCTCAGAAATCAGTGGGCTTTTATTGCATTTGAAGTGAGTCACAGGCATTTTCCTACACTGGAGTTTATTTTGTTGTTCTGTTTTCTAACAAATGGGTCATTAGGAGGTAGTTGTATGGAGGGTTTGCACTCCGCAAGGGTGGATATCATGCTGCTTTAAAAACCGATGTTTGCTCATTATCTTTCACAGTGATGGTCGCATAGCTGGTGGTCAAATCCACATGTTGTTTCTACAAAGTGATCTGTATTTCGGGACTTCAGAATTCTC